ATCCATAAACTGTAACTCATCAATGAACAAATTGTGATCTACAATCCCAAGATCAATCATTTGCCAGAAACGCGATCTAAGTTGACTAAAAACAAACAACAAAATGAAAACAAATATGGATGTAACCCACTTATTCTTAACAAGAAAATAAAAGTGCATGTTTCCCCCATCTCCCATTAATGAAAATTTCATTATTAGAAGATGGGGGAATGATTGGATTTTTTAGGGTTGAGGGGAGAGGGGTGGCGGCTGAGAGAAGAGAGAAGAGCTCTAGAACCCTTCTATTACTACTGCTTGAATTTATTTATTTATGTATTTTTTTGGTGTTGATTGAAAGTAATTGATCCATAAATTTTTCAAAGACTTTTAAATTTGAACAGGGAGTTAATTTGGATAAAAGAAATGGTAGAGAATTTTGAAGATATTGTGATTTATTTGAGAAATTGATCTGGGGATAGAATTATGACTTTGATTAAAGTGTAACTGTTGAAGTCATGAATCAGTTTCAAAATTAGATATAGTTATGATTTTTTATTTATTTTTTTGATAACTTAAATTGAATTGAATTTTTTTATTTTTATTTTTTCAATAGGAACTCTTCTTTGAGTTTGGATGTGGACACTTTTAAGGATAGGTTGACAGTTGGAATTTTGGACAAAAACTGATTTTTTGTTATAATGGGGCATATATATATATATATATATATATATATATATATATAGATTGTAAGTAATCAACAATAAATTCCTTTCTCTTTGTTTTGTTTTCTTCTTATTTTTTTTTTTAAAAAAAAACCTTTTGGTGGTTTTCCTAATAGAAATAAAAAAAAAAATTTTAAAAAAAAAAGGGAAAATGTTTAAAACATACTGTGAAAATCATGGTGTCCCTTATACATATCCAAAATTTATTTATAAGGGTCAATTTCTTTTGTGTACATGTAATTTTTTATCTGTGTACATCTCTAAGCACCCTAAACTGCCATTGACAAGCCGTCGTCACACTAGTCAAATATTAATTGCCTACTTAATACAATTACTAGTAGTAAAATAGCAAGTAGGGTCGATGCCATAGTGAAGGATACCAAGTTTTCAGGTTAAAATTATTTCTTATTATTATTTAGATTAACAATTTATCAATTTTAAACTAATCTAAACCTAAAACTATCAATTTCAATTATTTAAAGATATAAATAAGTAAAAGAAAAACCTAGGGCAAAGGATTCACCAACTGACTATTCAGTTTAATTTTATCTATAAATATGTGACTTTGGACTTTCATTAATCTCACGATAATTCACCAATTTAAGAATTATACACTCTCGTATTATAACTCTCTTACTTAAACTAACCCTATGACTACTCTCGTGACTATAGGGATTAATAAAAGCACATTAAGAACTTTGGAATTAATAGTCGCAAATGCGGTGTTCCTACTCTCGTGGCTCACTACCTAAGTTTATTATTCCTACAAACTAATACTAGCCTTCCACTCTCGCTACTTCAGCTAGCACCTTAAAGCATGCAAATATTGATCAGGTATCACAGGGATGAAAAACAAGAATAATAAATATTAATTAATGAAAAAGTCACAATCATAACTTAAATTAAATTAAATAGTACGGCGGCTACATCCAAAATCCTAGATTAAATAATTTAGCTACACATCATCTCAAAAATAAATAAACAATGAAACCCGGGAAAAGTAGGCTAAAAGTTGAGTCCGGACATTAATCCAATGCTGCTCCTCTTGGCGATGATGGGACTGGTCGCGTGGGTTAATTATGGTGGTGTGCGGGTTCGGTTTGATGCGTGGAGGTGTGTGGGGTTTTTGGCTGGTAGTGATGCTGATTAAAGGATGATGATGATGATTTGCGGGAATGGAGGAGAGGTGACTTGGAGTGATGGTGATGGGTGGTGTAGTACGTGGTGATGGAGAAGGGTCGTGGAGTTGGGGCTGCGTGGGCAGGAAGGTGGAGATCGGCGGAGGTGGAGGCAAGATGATGGGATGGTCAAGTTCTCTCTCAAAAATAAAAATCTAATTCTCCTTTTATAGGCTTTCGACAAACTCTATTTCTTCAGGAATAAGAAAGTTTTTTTTTTTTCAAGCCAATTTAAATTAAAACTCCTCCTCTTCGAGTGCTTCAATTTCTTCCTTGTCAATTTATCAAATCTTCAATTCTCCCTTTGAGTTGCTTTTTCTTTTCAATTTAGTTCAAAATCTCAACAATTATTCCATTTGAGTATAAAACCTACAAATAAAGATAAAATCATATAAATAGCATATTTGTACTCAAAATATATTGCAAAAATCACAAATTAGGGATATAATAAATAGGTAAAATATAAGCATATTAGCCATCAATACTTAACATTAGGCAATGTATCTACGAATTTTCATCTGTACATCTCCAAGCACCCCAAACTGCTAACAATATACATGCAACTTTTTATCTAGGAACATCTCCAAGTATTATCTCAAGGAGGGATCTTTTTGGAAGTTTAAAGTGAAACAATCGACCTCTTAGACAATGAAGAAGTTGCTAAAAATGAGACAGGTTGCACTAACTTGTGTTAATGTCACACCTCAGGGAATTGAATGCGTTAGATCAGGAGCACCTTTCTCTGCAAATGGAGCATATCAAACATTAAGTCGGTAGCACCAAAGGTACCCGCTATATAAACATGGTTTCATTACTTGGTTGGCATGTTTAGATAAACTGAAAACAAGAGCTAGAAGTAAAATCCGGCAACTGATAGTAATTGTCCCTTTTGCTTGATGGAGGAGAAAACGGTAGAACACCTATTCTTTCAGTGTCTGATATCTATTCAAATAATCACTAAGATTATGGAGCTAGTTCAGGCAAAAATTCAAACACTACACTGGTCGAGTTTTTAAGGAGGAGCTATTGAGGAAATATGGTTCAAGTGTAGCAAGAATAACAAGAGGGGTGGAGGTAGCAGTGGTGTACGACATTTGGGAAATGAGGAATAATGTTGTTTTCCGGCAAAAAATACTGTCTGTAAGTGAGATGATGCAGATCATTTCATTTTCCTTGAAGACGAATCTGTCCAAAGTTGCCAAGATGAAGAACACCAGGGAAAATAGAAGATAGTGTAGCGGGATGAATATTTCTCCCCAGTTCATATAACACTTGAAGAAATCTTTTGATATTTATGTGGCGATCTTTTGTAACTATTTCTAATTATATAGTTAGAGTTTTGTAAATCCTATAAGGATATGTTGAGGAACAGAGGATATACGTACTTTTCTCACCCAACTGAAATGAAATTCGACTTTCATCAAAAAAAAAAAAAAACACATCTCCAAGCACCCTAAACTGCCAACAACACTTGACATTCCAGTTACTTCACTTACACAGGACAAATCCCATATCATCCAACACTATATTTGGATCACTTCACACCCGAAGCGCGATCTACAGCAATCTAGTGTTATAAAATTATTAAAAATAAATGTAAGAAACATACTATTTTACAATTTTTATCCTCAGAATATCTCAATTACACTCTATTTGAATGCCCCATTATCATTGTGTCATATACCAGTTTGTTCACTTCTTTCTCTAATAATTAAACTTTGAGACATACACATAATATGTAAGTTAAAAGGTATAAAAAATAATAAAACGGAAAAAAAAACATATGGAATAAGCTTTTTTTTTATTAAAATACTATTGGGCCCACAATGGTTATATTCAACCGCTTGAATGTATATGTTTCTACACTTAAAATATTTAAACTCACTCCAATGGTAACTGTTCATAAAATAGTGACATTAAACTGACATTATCTACAAGTTCATCTCAACTCTTAACTCTACTGACATGTCTATCATGATTACAATAGTGACATTAAACTGACATTATCTACAAATTCATCTCAACTCTTAACTCTACTTACATGTCTATCATGATTACAATTCCACATGCAACTTTCGTCTTCTCATCTCCGTCAATGATGCCGATCGAAACTTTCTGACCCACAAGGTTTCGCAATCTGCAATATTATCATAGCGTTCCCAAATCCAAGATGTTCAAAAGATTCAAATCGATTCGAGTTTGGATAAGAAATTGAATTAATCTAATTAATCTAAGTCATCTAAATCCCAATATGCTCCCTCTCACCTCCATGAATTGCCCGTGGCTGACCAGTCTAGCCGTCAACCAAATTCGCGCAACCCTAGGTCATTTGCGGCATTACCGATTTGTACATCTTCCAAAATAATTAATGGATCAACATTTTTGTTACATATCTAATCCAAAATAGCACCAATTTTCAATGACTATGTCCCAGAAGTACTCAAATTCGTAAACACAATTTGATGTGAAGTTCAAATGGCGCATTATTTCTGTGTTCGAGTACAACCAGAGATATTATAACTGAAGACAAAGTTTTTTTTTTTTTTTTTGAAAATGACGAAAACAAAGTCACAAATGATTTCTTTTGGGAGTTTTTCTTTTTAATAAAAATAGAAGCTGATATGAAATTGTCAACAAGGATAGACATATTAGTAGATAGACATGTTAGTAGAGTTAAGAGTTGATATAAATTTGTAGACTTTTAAATCCATTGCTGGAGCCTGAATCAAAGTGATCTCTTTTCTCTTTCTTTTTTTTTTTTTCATAATAGGGGTCTTTTAAAGTGTGCTAGATCTTGGCACATAGCTTTTACGCTTTTTAAAAAATTAAGGATATGTTTGTTTTGTTTTATTAATGTATGTTTTTAGGTATTTTTTTAAAAAAATATAAAAAAATAATTTAAAAATATATAAAAAATATTGAGATGGGATAGTTACTAATATATTAATTTAAAAAAACCATAAAAAAAAATAAACAAAAAAGCTTTAAGTCTCCGTTCCAATGTAGGCGCCACTTCCTTCCTGCAGAATAAACCCGTTCCCAACGATTTTCTACAAGTCCCAAGAAAAGCTCCTTAATCCTCCGGTCGGATAGCAGCAACACTCCGGCGAGGGCTTATCAAATGTGGCAGAGACGCCTTCTCTCCACCAATATCCACAAAGCATCATTCGAAGCCTCAGCCCCTCTCCAGAATCGAAACCTCAAGAACAGGAAATGGGCGGTGAAGCAAGTGAAAAAGTCCAATTTCGTGGAGGCGTTGGATGAAATTAAAACCCACATCGCCAATTCCGATTTCGTTGCCGTTTCTCTGCAAAAGACCGGCGCTTTCTCATCACCCTGGCAAAAAGTGCTTCCCTTTGATACTGCTGACATTGCGTATTTCAAAGCCAAGTATGCTGCCGAGAGGTTCCAGATGTTTCAATTCGCAGTTTGCCCTTTTTCTGTCAAATCCTCCAAACTCATTGCTTACCCGTAAGTTCTGATTCTATTTTGTTTAGTACTCCCTCTGTCCAAAATTATTGTCCAGTTTGGGATTTCACTTTTAGTACAATTTGAACTAGAAATGAAAACCAAACTGGACAATAATTATGGAACGCAGGGATTATGAAGTTCCTTCTAGATCCTCCGTTTGTGGGGAGTTTGTAATTTGAAATACTTGTTAAAAGGATATTCGAATATTTTGTATTGTTGTGATTGGAAATTAGATTTTCTCGAGTTCATATGCAAGTTGAGCTGGAGATATGAGTTTGTGGAAAAATAATGAAAATAAATGGTTTTCTGGAAAGGCGGGAAAATGTGGCAATTAAGCTTATGTTTAGAATCCATGTGAAGCCTGCTTTTGTTGATTGAAAATCTTGTTAGGCATTGGAAAGGTAGAGTTTTGTTTTGGGACCTCTAGAACCTAGTTATGATTGTTAGAGTGCACCGAAATTTTTGGTTTGGCTACAAATTCTATGGGTGTAAATGTGATTGGCAGTTGTGAATAGGCTTAACCTTCTTTAATGAAATAGAGAATTTATCACAAGATCCCTTGGTTCTAATGGGGCTGTATTGTGTTCCCTGAAATAACTAAGCAGATATCTCAAGCCATACTGTTCTGTGCTATCAATCACTGGTCTGAACAATAGTTCTAATGAAGTAAAACCCTTTTTTCTTTTCCCTTTTTCTCAGGCTTTCTGCATTCTTGTTTATTTTCAGTTGGAACTTTGTTTTGTGACTGACAAATATTGTCTTTTGTATGAATACTGTGGTGCTATAAGTTTATTTGCTAATAATTGTTCATGCTATCTTTATCCAGTTGCGATTTCTTTTTTTTTTTTTTAACATTTCGACTGGCTTGTAGTTAGGGAAGGAAATAATTCTGAGACAACTATTTGATGGTTCTGTAATCTGTATGCATCACTGTGACTTATTTGATCATGAAATGTAGTTGTTGCTAATGGAACTTGAAGAATTATGCTTGTTAGCTAAGGCTGTTTAACAGACTTGATGTGGGTGATAAATGTGTGAAGTGACTCACCAAGATACTGTTTGTGATCTTGCATTATTTGTGTAGGTACAATTTTCATTTGTTCCCCAGGGATGAGTTGAAAATTGGGATGCCTTCTTACAGCTTTTTGTGTCAGTCATCTTATTTGACAGCTATGGCACGGGAAGGTTTTGATTTCAATGCTTGCATTAATGATGGTAAGTGACTCTAACTATATTGATGTAATTCTGAGAGGTTATCCACCCCTTACTTAAAAGCAGAAAAAGAAAAGGAATGTATTAATCTGAAGATAGTCTCTGGGAGGAAATATCCTCCATAATACAATTTTCTCATCCTCTCGCACAGGCCTGATTGGACATCTATGGGTGCTACTGCATCCTCTGTGTCAAATGGGCTCTATCTAGTTTGTGTTCTTAGCTTTAGTTCTCCTAAAATCTGTCTGGTAATGCCCTTTTTGGGTTTGGTATGTTGACTGGTACTTTTTTCTTGTACGCGGAGGTACTATTATCATTATTTTTTTAATCTTTATTGATTAAAAATTGTCATTTTGCCTATATATGCCAGGATGGGATCCAAATACAGTTCTTCTCTACTTCTTTAGTTTTTTTTTTCTTTTTTGTTGGGAAAATCTAATTCTTTAGTTGATAGTAAATAAAGGAAGGCACATCTAAGACAGCAGTTTCTTATCTAATGATTCAGTGGTATCAGTATCTCTTACAGGGAATAGGATAGGGACTGCATCTCCTTCTTCTCCCGTCCTATTTTGGTTCTAGTGTCTTGTTGACAACTCTTTGCTAATAATCTAGACTTCTTGGTTAATGAGGTAGCTTTGATGTTTAGAACTTTGTTTTCAGCTGGATTGTCAGAGTGAGTGTTTGTATTTTGTAACATAATCGGCATGTTACCGAACATCAAAGGTGTGACTGGTCATCTTCTGTGTCTCTATAAAGTGAGCCAAATTCTTGAAAGTGCATTGTGTTACTCCATCGTCATTCTCTATGATCATCTCCCCGCATCACAGTCCTCCACCACTCACCCCCGGCGACCCTTACTCACCGTTGGATCTCTTTATCACGTGCATTGGAGACCCTTTATTGGGCTTCAATTCCACGTTCACAGTTTTGCTCAAGTTCCTAATGTTCGTTGGGTATTTGATCTAATGTGGTTTTAACTAGCCAAGTTCTGATTAATTTTTTTTTCCCCCCGGGGCAGGCATATCATACTTATCCAGAGCTCAGGAATCAGCTGCAAAAGATAGGACTGGAAATCCATTGCTTAAATACAAGGAGATACACTCTCCACTACCTAAGTCGGCTAATTCTGTGGCTGATTCTATGTTTGTAGAAAGGATTAAATCTCGGATTCGGAACTGGATAAGTGCATGTCAAGATTCAGAAAAAAAGACTGATGGTGAGCAGTATACTGGTCAATAGTTGATGATAAGTTCTATTTATTTCATTTAAGTTTGTGGTAGTTAGGGGCTTACTGGCAGTCTTTGTCATTAGCTAATGCAGATGCCTTGATTAATTCTCTGAGGAAGATAGTGTCTGGAAGTGAAATGTTTGGCCTGAGGTCAAGCTTGACTGTAGACGTTTGCAGTGACCGCCAAGTGCAGCTGGTATTGGAGGTAAATTATCATAAGCAGAATTTATGTTAGGTTAATAATATTTTACTCTCGGTGGTTCCAGATGATTTGTTATCATGTTTCTGACACCAGTTCTATGTTGATTGTTTTGTGCAGTCATTGAATAACTTCACCAGTGTGGTGCCGTTATTGGTTCCAGGGAAGGAAGGAAATACCCAGGCTGTTCGAGTTGTTTTGACAACTTCGGAAGAGGATAAAGTTGCTTTTGAGGTGCCATGAACAGAACTCTCTTTCGATGTAAACTTTTAGCCTTAGGAAAGTCTAATGAAAAAGATATCAACAATATTTGCTTTTCTAGTCCAGATTAGTACTTCTACAGTGACTCACTAGCTCTGATGAGCCTTTGATTTGTAATTCACAGAAGGAACTACAACTCAAGGAAGAGGAACATAACAAGCGGATCCGGGGCTTCAGGGAGGTGATCGATTTGATTTCCACATCACAGAAACCTGTTGTTGCCCACAACTTGATTAACGGTCTACATCTCTAGATAATTATGATCCTTTCATTTTTGCTCTTCGAGATAATTTATGTCATTATAAACCAACTTTTGTCTTTGCTTTCTTGCAGAATTTACATTTCTTCATTCAAAATTCCTGGCTCCATTACCTTCAACAATTAATGAATTCAGGACTTCCTTGTGTTCAATTTTTCCTTACATATTTGACGTCAACCATCTGATGATGGCGATTGGTTCTCAGAGGAAACTAAACAAACTTTCTGCGGCGATTTCGCAAATGAAAAGGAGGTTCACCGGGCAACTAAATGTGGAGATTCCTGAGACTTGTAAGTTACACATTTCCTCTCTCCAAATTTAACTGATCATGGTCAGGAATGGGTTGCAAGTTTTTTTCCTATTCTCTTCCTTCTCTTAAAATTTCACTCGAGTCGAAGTGCCTGCACTTCCCTTTCGCTTGGTTTGTGACTCTTGTTTAAATTCACATCGTAAGCGATTTGCCTAATGAACCTGGCTACCTTTCTGCTTGAGTCTGGTAGGGATCCAATGCTTTATGATTATGATGTGTTCTGACTTGGTGCATTGTTGCTTGTTAGTTGGACCAAGTGATATTGGTGGTCACGGGCGTAGTGTTCTAAGGATATGTGAACTCTTCGCCAAGCTCAGCTTAACATTGAGTCCTGACGCTGCTGATACCGCACCCCCTACCCTTATGTCTGAAGCGAACATCTTTAATCCACACTTGTCCAGTCCATCAGATCTTTTGGATGAAGATGTTGGAATTTCGACTAAAGACACTAGAAGAATTAACATCAGTGATTTGGTTTTCTTGTGGGGTTTTGGAGAGGGAATGTCAGCACGCAAGCTGAAAAACCTACTCAGTAGTGCACATGAGGCGTTCTCTGGAGAATTTGATGTTAGAATGGCAGATACTAATTGTGCTGTTGTTGTTTTCTGGAATCCTGGTTTTGCTGAAAGGTTTCTGGAGATAATGAATTCTGGAGGAATGAATCATGAACCTCTTAAAGATTTGATTTCAGAAGGTGTTCGAGCTGCAAGCTATAGAACGTATCAAAGGGTTTGTGAACAAGGTCTGTGGGAAGCTGATTTGGCAGATGCCTTAGACAAAGCCTTGGAAGGAACTGTAGACCATGTAGAAGCCAACTCGGAACAGGAGCCACTTCATGTCTCCTGGAACAGTGATGAATTGATCAACCTTGATGATCTTTAAGATAGTCGATAAACAAAATTAATGGCCTTCCGACTCCAGGCAGGGCTGGGCTGTGAAGATTTTGGCACTAGAATTGGCTGGTATTCACAAGTTGATCAAAGGTCAGTTCTGAGTAGAAAATACTGCCAGAAAGAAGGAAGGAATGTGTCAAGTGTGTGGTTAGTTTTGGACGCTGACCATTAGCGTGCTACGGTCAGAAACTAACCAAGGACTAGCTTCTGTAATCAGGCGGCGTTGGCTGGCTTTGTCAGTCAATGAGCAAGGATGCAATTCTTCTGCAAAGATGAACACTCTGATATATTGTTGACAAACGCAGCACATACTTGGGACCCTTGGAGCAACAGAAACTTGCGCAGAGAAACGCTAGTAGTGTTTCTCCTGAGGTGTTGTTATACTTTCGCGTCTGTATCGTCGGTGCTTATTTATTTATTTATTCTTTTGGGTGCAAAACAATAAAGTTCATTTTTCCTACCATGCAAACACACCAGTTCATCGTGTTTTCATTTCTTATTGGTCGTATGCTATAGTATAGGGTTTTATCTTTCTTAATCTTGGGTCTATCTCTATATGGTGAAAATGAATGATTATCTCAAGGTCGGGTTCAAAATTTTGAAACCCAATTTGATAAAGAAAAAAAAAAGGCCTTTGCTTTCACCGCTGACTTTCCGTTGATGAACTTCCTTACGCCGTTCGTTGCCGTCAATTCAATAACGCCGACAATCTACCAAACACCTTTTTTTTTATTGAATGCATTTCCGTTGTTTATTTATTCAATCAAAGGTTAGGTGGTTCAATGGTACGTTCTTCAGTTATTTTTCATGACATTTCCTAGTTTTAACTATAAATTACCAAATCCATCATTTTATCTCCGTCTTTTGGAAGTAGTAGTATAGTTTTTTTTTTTTTTTTTTTTTCCTTAAGTCCGATTGCACGGTTTTTTTTTTTCCCCACTTTACTATTTACTCTCCCATTTTTAAAAATAGTTCATACAAAACATAATATGAATTATTGTCTCCTCATTTAGATCGTTTTTAGTTTTCCAATTTTTTTTAATAAAAATTTACATTTTTTAATATTCTTTTTCAATATTGATTTTAAAATTAACATTTTTTAATCTAATATGTTTTTTGGTATTTGAAATCATTTTCATTACCACTGTTAATATTTCTTAACCTAAAATCTGGACAATATTGAGCACAATTATTCAATACCGGTAGTATGTGTTTTCCTCTCAAAACAATATCTCTTTCACTTAAAATTTAAATTAGATAGATTTTTATTTTTTCACTAGAGACATTCAATTGTTATTATTAATCACATAACAGATAAATATTTTTTATCGCTTTGCTTATTCAACTTTCACAAAACATCACATCCGTTTTAATGTTTTTCTCAATGTTTGATTTGCACGCATTTACGTTATAAATAAATTACGTATTTCCTAAAACTTTCAGTACCAGCTCAAGCAAGCTCAACATCAAATGTTTAATAAGGAAAAAAAAGTTTAGTATAAGAGAATTTTTTATCTGCACACTTTTTAAATAGCAATGACAAAATTGCTCATTCGTTATTAATTTGTTTTTGCGTTATGCCATTTTTACTCTCCATCTTTATAGATGCTTTTGAATAATAAGTTAGTAATAAGAGCGTGTTAAACTGTTAATATTTTTTCTCATTTCCAATTTCCCAAAATCAGTTGTACCATAATCTCAACAAGTTAAATTACATTCTCAAGCATCCTTCAACTTGTTAAATTACAAATATTGACCACTTTTAGAGAAGATACAGCGATTCTAGAGAAATTGAAGTGTTGGATCATTTTTAGCAAATAAATATTTGTTTTTTTTTTTCAGAAAAAAACAACATTTTTGAACACAAGTGATTAAAAATGCCAGAAAAGACGAAGATTTAACCCTAATGATCAACAATCCCAAAATCTCGAGAAATCAAATTCGTTCAGATGAAGTCCTAATCATCTCTTTATCTAAGTATTATAATAATAAAAAAAAATAAATAATGTTACAAGGATAACGACGTAAACAAACATTAGTCACCGTCACCGTCACGGTTGGATACTCCCGCGCGTCACACACAAGCAAAGGAAAAAAAAAGCCAGGGGAGCACGAACCAAAGTTTATCTCTCTCGTTTTGCGTCACTTCTCAGTATGTCCTCTCTTTCTTCTCCCCCACACTCCTCTTTCTGCTTCAATTTGATGATTTTCGTTTGAATTTAATTTTATTTAATTTTTTTTTAATTTCCTGTAGTACGATTTAGTTTGATTGTAATCGAATTGAAGCCATGAGTCGGACCAACGATCCGAATCCTTTTGACGAAGAAGAGCCTGAAGTCAATCCATTTTCGGTAACCTCCTTTTGCCCTTTTTTTTTTTTTTTTTCCATCCTCCTTAAAATTCTGCTTGGCCGTTCCTAGATCTGGTGTCGGTTTTAGTGCATTTCTGTTGTCAATGAGCTTTTGTGGCTTGTATTTTCGGATTTTGGGCGTGAATCTCTCCCCCGATTGGTTTCTGTCTGGATTTCGGGAACCTTAGATTCATGCTAGGGTTTCGCGAAGTAGTTAATTGTAGATTTGTGTTTTGGGGAAATTCTACATTCTGATTGTTAACTCGTGGTGGAATAACTTGCGATAGAAGCTGATTTGTTTCAACAATAGTAAATGTGACTGGAGACGACTGATTTGAATGCGATTGTGATTTCTTTTTTCCAAAAAAAATTCAAAAATCGATTTGGTTGACAACTTTGACAAGTTCCTTACTAGTTATTGGAACCTGCCTTTCGTCGGTTCAATTCGGTGGGACATGTTGTTACAAGTTTTATTTTGACCATGATAATCAGTCTGTATAATTTTTCAATGTTCAGGATGCACCAAAATAAAATAAAAGAGATTAAAATGGAAGAAACACTAACGTACACATATTATAATAATTACTGAGTATATTGGTCGATTAGGAAGGCAACTGACCGTGAGGTAATTGGAGAGGACGGGGAACCAAGATTTATAGGTTTCAATTGTACAACCTGTATGGCGAAATGCAATCTTTTAGTGCAGTTTGATTTTGCTTTATATTCTTAATAAATAGTTTCATTTTGCTCAAATATGATATGTATACTGAACGGTTGCTATGGTTAATTAGAATTGTTGGGCCAAGCCACGAGTTGGGCTCTGAGCTTCTTGTACCTTACATGTTTTTAGGTCATGATATTCTGTGAGCTAATACGTGCATCCACTATTATGTAGAGTAGTTATGGTTTTCAAGATAGAATATGGTTTTTATGTCATGAAATTCTGTGAGCTAATGCGTGCCCACTGTTGTGTAGAGTAGGATAGAATATGGTTTCACTCTTGAATCTTAATTCTCAGTGTATAGACTAGCTTCTGCCAGGTAGTCTGAATAATAACTCTGATATCCTGCAAAAGCTCTCACGAGGCAATTCTGCCCTGCAGTTGTGGTTACTCTCTTACTAAGTAGTACCCTTTTTCCCTCAGGTCGTCCTCATGAATGCTGCTAACTTGCTGCATGTGGCTATTTATATGTCTGATGATTGTACTCATTTTAATTTAATTCCTGCTGTAATCCTTTTTGGTTATTGCAGAAAGGTAGTGCTGCTCCTGGGTCAAAGTCTCGGATACCTCAATTTGTTTCAAATACTCTGGGTTTCGGCCAAAAGCATGATGCGACTGTTGACATACCCTTGGGCGCAATGAATGTAATGTAGCAATTGTCTTCTATATCAGATATCTTTCTCGTATGTTGCAGAAATTTGAGTTTCTATATTCCTTTCTTCCGGCAGGATTCCAATAAAAAACAGAAGGAGCTTGCAGATTGGGAAGCAGATCTTAACAGGCGGGAGAGGGTGCGTTTTAGGTTTTTGTTTTCCCCCAATCAATGTCGATATTTTGAAAATATTTACATTCTAAATGGCTTGTTCTATTATTCTTATTGTTATTATTGTCATTTTTATTTATTAAGTAAGACACATTTGTTAATGATGAAAGTGAACATTAAGTTTGCGACTCAAATCACTACTGTTTCCATGGTAATCTCTTTCCCTGTAAAGTTCTGTTTTCTGATTGTACAATACACTGATGGCCTTTCATTTCAGGATATAAAACGCAGGGAGGAAGCTGTTGCAAGTGGTGAGTTCTGGACCTATGAAATTATGAGCCTTATGAAATTATGAGCCTGATGTTTCCTGGCTATTGACTTAAAATTGTTAATATTTTTCGATGTTTCAAATTCAGCTGGTGTTCCCACTGACGATAGAAATTGGCCTCCCTTTTTCCCAATAATCCATCATGACATTGCAAATGAAATACCTGTTCACGCACAGAGGCTGCAATACTTAGCTTTTGCAAGTTGGTTAGGTAGGTGCTCTTTGTTCTATGAAAGTGACTGTTGTTAAAAGTTTACTTTGTGTGTATGATGGGTTTATTTGTGCCAATCTCGATAATGATTTATGAAGGTGTAGTAAACTTGTTCTTTAGATTTTCTGTTCACCAAGAAAATGATCTGATGCATATTTATAAAGAAGTAGATAAAAGAATCGGTCTCTCCTTTGTGAATATGTAAATAGCGACCATGAGTATATCCATGTCACCTGGATCTTTTGGTTTTGTCGTGCTTTTTAAATTTTTTTTCTTCAAGTTCATTATCGACTAATCTTAAATCATTAAATGATGGTGCTCTTTCTATTCCTATAATAGATGTATCAATTTGAGTTTCTACTGCATTCAGGAGTTTATGTGAATCACGGATGTGGGTTTAGAACATATAGCAGTGATTGAAAATACAATAATAAGCAATGGTAATGCAGGAGTCAACAGACAAATGGCAAAACCACTGCGCTAGTGCCTACTTTCATTCATGATCTACACATCAAATTTCTGAAATTCCTGCCTAGATTATTGCATCAGTTCCATTCTTAGAAGACTTATTTGTGTCTGTTTTTTGTGGCTTTTGCTGGTTTTTCATTTCTGTAAATCTTCTGCTTAGCATGCTTGCACTGGTGGCTCCAAATCTCTGTTTCATGTACCCTGCAATTTGGGTAATTTATTTTATCTTTAGCACCAATATGGTTATTGCACCTGGATAATTAGGTTAAATACCGGGGCAAAGTTGTTAGTCTCTTTCAACTTAGAATTATGGTGATGCTGCTCATTGAAATTGATTACATGATGCTCTTATGGTTTAATTTGTTTCATTTCCTTGGGAAGTGCAATCATCTTAAGATCACTTTCACAGTGACAATCTCAAATGAATAGAACAGAATTATTTTCGTCCCTGTTCCCTGTGTCTGACTCTGATATCTTTTATCCAGGCATTGTTCTTTGCCTCGTCTTTAATGTTGTGGCAGTGACTGTATGCTGGATAAGGGGTGGTGGTATGTAACTTCTTTTCTAAGTCCATCCTTTGTCGATCAATCAATTGATGGTATTTTGTTAGTAGTTCGTAATATTTTAGACAACTTGCAGGTGTTAAGATTTTCTTCCTTGCTGTTATCTATGCTTTGATTGGATGTCCGTCATCATATGTTGTTTGGTACAGGCCTTTGTACCGTGCCATGAGGTACTTGGCTTATCTGCTATAGTTTCTTCTAGTCTAATCTCATGAAATTATCCAAGCCTTTTTTGTTGGATTGATGAGAATTGTTTCTTCCAACTTTTGCAGGACTGACAGTGCCATAAAATTTGGTTGGTTCTTTTTGGCCTACTTGGTAAAAACTTCCTCCATATTTAATACTCCCTCTGTCCCAAAATTATTGTCCAGTTTGAGGTTTCATTTTTAGTACAATTTGAACTAAAAATGAAACCTCAAACTGGACAATAATTATGGGACGGAGGGAGTATATTATTTTGGTTGGCAATACTTTTTTTCATTTATATATGACTTGATTTTTGGTATGCAGATCCACATTGGTTTTTGCATATTGGCAGCTATTGCTCCCCCAATCTTTTTCCATGGGAGGTCACTTACGTAAGTCATCTATCTCTCTTTTTTTTCTCGTCCAACCATTCAAAAATTTCAGTTTGCTTTTTATTGTAGGCTGTCTGTTTCATAGGTTGTTGGTCACTGCGTGATCCCTGCTTTATCATGTTTTCATTTCAACTGCAAAAGATTATTAGTTTTTAATTGTTTCTTTATTTTCTTTCCTCTGAAATTTCAGGGGCATTCTGGCAGCAATTGATGTCTTTTCTGACCATGTTTTGGTTGGGGTAAGCTCTATTTGTTTGGGCTTATGAGTTTCCATTATTTTGTGACCTGTTAGTTCAGTGGAAGATGGCCAAAGAAATTCAAAGGACAGTGGTTCTCACTTTTGTACAAAGATCTAACTCGGGCGAATTGGGTCGCTAAATTTTGATCTAATATGAATGAACTCCAGGCCTTGTTTCTTTACTGGATAAAAGCTTTTTCAACTATGAACCTATTAAAATATTTTTCTCTATAGTTTTATCCTTTTGAGGCATTTCTTCCTCGTCATCTCTTCTTTTAGTTTGCCAATTTTTACTAATGCTAGTAGATTGGGATATTTTGAGTTAATATGTGGCATTCTAGTGCTTTTTCTGGACATGTTATGATTGACATTAATGGCTGAGTATTGCTGGTTTTTAAAAGTAGTAATATGTCGTTTGAAAGTCTGGCTTGTTGAGTACTCATGATTAATGTTCTTGCATTACTTTGGAACACAATTTTCACTGAGCGAAACATTAATTGCTTCCACTTTTTGCAGATTTTCTACCTCGTGGGATTTGGCTTGTTTTGCCTGGAGTCACTTCTGAGCTTGTGGGTGCTTCAGGTAAATGTGAACCTTCAGGCTTTTTGATTTTTAATTTATGGCAAGCTCGAATGCTGTAATCATGTATGTCTGTTTACCACTTAAAATGTCGATTGCTCTCTCCATGGTTGGCTAATCACTTCATCATCTTATTTTATTCTTAAAAGCATGGTTTTTTCCCCCTTTACTGGTGTTTATTCTCCCTGTGCTGCAATATGTTTGTTTCACATTCTTCCTTCTGTTATGTCATCCATTGCCACCCTGAGAATTGTGGTCCTTCACATTTTCTTGAAGAAGGAAACACAGATCTGGGAGAACGGGTGATGCTGGTGTTTTTACCATATGTTTGAACATAAGTATTCTGTCCGGGCCTCCTTTTGTGCTGCAACTTTCGCTTATAAACTCTTTTGTTTTTATATCTCTTGCAGAAAGTTTATATGCATTTCCGTGGGCACAAGTGATTCACCGAGTAAACTTCTGCTGTTGGAGGTGCCTTGATGCTCTTCATCGAGGTTATTAGATGAGCTGCGAGATGCAACATTTTGCTGGGCGTGATTTTTCTTCTTAGGATATACATATTTTTCTTACATAGTTGGAGAATGTTTTGTACATCTCAGATTCTTTCAACTTGGTGAGGTCAAATATGTTCTTATCGAATCATGGCAAATGGTGTTGACTATTGGAATTTTTGCCGACACAGCTTCACATTTGGATTCTAAAGTATGCTTCAATTAAGAAATTAAAATTTCCCTTCCCTGCAATGATCTGTTTGTCACATCCTCTTCTGTTTGTACATTTGCATCCTAATTGTGGAACAAATTTAGTTCCAATAAAGTAGCTGCAGGAGAAAATGAAGGTGTCAAAAGTAACAATAATCAAGGTTTTGAAACAAGATTGGAGACAAAATACTGTACACATTGTTCTGATTATCAATGTTCTTAGATTTAAAATTGTATTCTGGAATACCCCGAGAAGAGAGATTGCATTTTGATGATAGGCTGCAATGTGCCTTTGCTGCCTTTGATAATTGAGGTGACGTCAAAATTTAGAGTGACATTTTAGCAATTAGGAATTTGTTTTTGCTAAATTTATGGATAGATCGTCAAATTTTGAAGCAAGGGTATTGCCTGGGACCTCATTACTGACCTTAGTTACTGCATTGAGGAATGAGGAAGAGCGGTAAGCAAAAAAAACTCTATAGCAAGGCTTATTAGGAGGAGCTGGGATATGTTTTAGGATCAAGAGAAACTTAATTAGGAAATGAGATTATTAATTGTACTCTTTCTCATATCAAATGTGTCTAATATAATCGAACCAATATCAAATTTCAACAAGTGTCTAATATGATCGAACCAATATCAACTACAGGTTTTATTGCCACCTTTGCATTTCAATTTGTTTTATTGAAAGGCAAACTACGACGATGAACATCCTAATACTTACTCTTTTTTTTTTTTTTTTTTTTTAAATAATTACAAAAAGAAAATGAGAAAGAAAGAACAGAAATCCAGCAGATGGCTTTGCTCCATCGAATTCATTGAAATGAAAGTTTGGAATGAGCTTCTTAGGATCAAATCGAGGTGATGGCAACCTATATGGCATATTCGTGTTCATTTTATTTTTCTGGTTGTAGTTTCCATATATTCTTTGGTTTTGCATCATTTGCCAATTTCTTGTTAAAAACAAATATGGGGTGCAAACTGTGCAAACTGCAGACTGATCAACTAGTGTCCAAACCTCACTCCTCCATAAGTCCATGCAGCCTGCAATCCACAAAAACTCTTTTTCCCTCATCTTCAAATTGCCATAATCTTGATGCCACGTGGCATGGGAATATCCAAAACTCAAGAAATGTGCACCATGCTTCTCCATTCCTTCATTTATCACAAACACCCATCACCTCATCCCCTTAAACCATTTCTTTTTCAAATTTTCACTAACAACTTAATACTCGATCGTCCCAAAATAACAGTCATGTTTGTACTCTGAAGCCTGTTTTACTAAACTCTTATATTCGGAAAAATTATATAATATTCTTAAGCAAAATGTTAATTAAAGAAAAATCCCAGTTAAGTCCCTCTCAAATAGTCACCTTAAAATTACCTCCAAAATTGTCTAACCAAGGGTGTAATCTCAAAAACCCATGAAACCATAGCCACATCAGTTCCTACCTCATCAAAATCAAACGCTTTCCTGTCCAAACAAAACTGCCATCTCATTACCTCAAAAAAAAAACCATAATCTCTTCTTCTCTTTTCTTTCATTCATTCATTTATTCTGTGTCTCAAACTTTTTTGATAGTAAACAAACAAATGAACCAAAACTAATAACTTCTTCACTTCATATACACACCAACCACAGATTACCATCATCTTTACTCTCTCTCCCATCAAAAAGAAAAACACAGAAAAAAAGGGAGAGAAGTGAAAGAAATAGAGTAAAACAATGGCTGTTTCAACAGTCTACACAATCCAACCACTGAATTCTTCATGTTCAATCTCCACACAAACAAAATCCCACCTAGGATTCAACCAAAAACACCAGATTCTATTCTACACCAAGAGGAATATTACAACCATCAGCAGAAGCAGCAACAATGTTAGTGTGATAACAACATGTTCAGCTGAGAAGCCTGTGGTGATTGGCTTAGCAGCAGATTCAGGATGTGGGAAGAGCACATTCATGAGGAGATTAACGAGCGTTTTCGGGGGCGCGGCCGAGCCGCCAAAGGGCGGGAATCCGGACTCAAACACACTCATCAGTGACACAACCACTGTGATTTGTTTAGATGATTATCATTCTCTGGACAGAAATGGTAGGAAAGAGAAAGGTGTGACTGCACTTGACCCAAGAGCCAATGACTTTGATCTCATGTATGAACAAGTTAAAGCCATTAAAGATGGCATCCCAATTGAGAAGCCAATCTATAATCATGTCACTGGTCTTCTTGACCCTCCTGAGCTCATCAAACCTCCCAAGATCTTTGTTATTGAAGGATTACACCCAATGTAAGTCTCTTCTTTCTTTAATGTTGGTAACAAGTTTTCATATTAATCGATGATGACACAGAGTAGAGTAACAGAGAGCAGTTAATAATTAATTTCGATAAGTTTGTTAGGTTCATATTGAACTTCAACATACTTATTGATCGGATTCCAGACATTAGATAGTCACGCCGCATTATGAACTTATGCACAAAATTGCTTATAGTTTTGGCTGATTACTAGAAGTTATTGAGCAATCAATCACTAGAGAGTGTACCATCTTTTTTTTGCTGGTAGATATTATCCAGAAAAAGATCAGTTTTTTGGGACCTTAATTAAAGATGAATTGGAAATTTTGGGTGGCGGCCATAACAAAGATCGGTTAGCAAATGTGATGCCTTTTAACGATGTTTGGCTGAGATGATAAATTTCTTTCTTTGTATGGTTGAGGAAAAAAGACTTAATTGAACTATTATGGATGCTATCAACTTTTCTTGGCCCACATCTTCCTCCATTATATATATATATATATATATATATATATTTTTTTTTTCAAAAAAAAAAAAAATTTTCTTCATCACACTTTTTTAAAAAACTTGATGAATTTTTTTTCTCCTTGCAAAAATTGTGTTTAGTACTTATTCTTTTAGTCCCAAAAGAGGGTCTTGCTTAACCAATTGAAACATGATTGTGACCTGTACTTGTGAATTTATTATGGTTACGAGACGTATTTTAACAATTTATTTTTACCATCTCCAAAGAAAAGAAATGACTTTACTCTATAAAATTATGCGAAATTTTGGAGAGTCTCAAACAATTGTCCATTAATTAATTAGTAAAGAACACAGCGACATGTATAATACTACTACTATATTTTTGTGTGGCGTAGAAGACAAATATTTCAGACAGGAAGAAGACAAATATTAGATTGAGTTGATTATTTAATCGGACTTATTAAAGTGTTTACCACTAATCAAATCTCATCGAATATATAACATAGGTATGATCAGCGGGTGAGGGACCTGTTGGACTTCAGCATCTACCTTGATATTAGTAACGAGGTCAAATTTGCATGGAAAATCCAGGTACTTCTTTTCAACATTTTGTTATTTTCCTGATCTTACAAGGGTTCATATTATTTTTCCATTTCTGATTTTTTTTTTTTTTTTGTGTCTTTATTAATTCATGGAATTAATTTCATGACATGCAGAGAGACATGGCTGAAAGAGGACACAGTCTTGAGAGTATTAAGGCCAGTATTGAAGCCAGAAAGCCTGATTTTGATGCTTACATTGGTAATTATTCTCCCCATCTATTTAGACCGTATTATTTGTTTCGTCATTTCAAGTGACTAATGCGAGTACTGCTATAAGTTTGTCAAAATGCCAAAATCTTAAAACGTTTTATCTAATGTTTCCAACTGTATTCTGCAAACATTATCAAAGCTGAAATTGCAATCTGTGTTTTGTCTACTATTTTGCTTTGAGCAGATCCACAGAAGCAGTATGCTGATGCTGTCATTGAAGTTTTACCAACACAGCTGATCCCTGATGATAATGAGGGCAAAGTTCTGAGAGTGAGATTGATACAGAAAGAAGGTGTGAAGTTCTTCAACCCAGTTTACTTGTTTGATGAAGGATCCACTATCTCCTGGATTCCATGTGGGAGGAAATTGACATGCTCTTACCCCGGCATCAAGTTCTCCTACGGTCCTGATACTTACTACGGCCAAGAGGTATGCTCCTGCAATTAGTCTTCTGATCGTGAATTCATACAGTGAAATGATTGAGAAAATGATACGCTACACGTATACAATGTAGACATTGCATCTGGTTTTCGAGAAGGTGGCTTATATTAATCTGCTTTCTGTACTTGTTTCTTTGAAGGTATCTGTGCTGGAGATGGATGGTCAATTTGACAGACTAGATGAGCTCATCTATGTAGAAAGTCATTTGAGCAACCTTTCAACCAAATTCTATGGTGAAGTTACACAGCAAATGTTGAAGCATTCTGATTTCCCAGGAAGCAACAATGGAACAGGGCTATTCCAAACCATTATTGGTTTGAAGATCAGAGATCTGTATGAGCAAATTGTTGCTACCAGGGCTGAATCATTGCAGACAGCCAAGGCCTAATTAAAGATCCGCGAACCGCGAGCTTGAATGTGTCGACACCACTGTTGTATTTATCGTCCTTTTCTTCTTTTACTCTTTCTTCTTTTTTTTCTTCACTAATTTTTCTTTCTCATTTTTCGATCCTCTCCATAGTGTTTCAGTTGAGTGATAAGCTTTCCGCCATGTAATGAGTAACACTCCAGAAGAAAACAAAATGTACTATTTGAAGTACCAAATTTTTATGTAGAAATTTGTAACATAAGAGAAGCAAAAGGAGAAATGTATAAGCAAATTAAAGGTGGCTGCAGATGAATAACAGTTATGATATTCAGTCAAAACTAAGCTACATGCGTTATCTGAAAAAATGTACATATGCTTCATCGTGCACATAACCTGCATTCTTTACTTCGAATGTTTGGTACTAAACTTAAGCGTTCCTTTGGCCTTCTAATTAGTTGTGAAGATGGTTCTTTTGGTTGGCTGCGATATCTTACAGTGAGTTTCATCTTTCCATAAAACGTGTTACTATCGGCCTCATGCATCATCGTCTTTGAAATCATCTGATCGCGCCAGAAGGATGAAAAACTGGGATCTTCTATATAGGAAACAAGTTTGGCCCTTTTGAATGGAAGAAAAGAGGTTTATATAAGCAACATCAGGATACGGCATACTTATTATATCTTTCATAGACGAAAGGATGTCTACATGTTGAAGCATCCGAAGTAATTTGGTTCAGACAGTGGTACCGTGATAGTAACCATGGACGATGACTTCTGAAGAGTTACAACAGCTAATTTGATCATCTCAAGACGTTGGTGAAAAGAGAATTTAGAAGATGATGATCTTGCTTGTTTAGTTGTTTATCAGCTTATTAGAAGATGATGGAACTATAATGATGATCCGATTACATTCAAATGAAAGGGCAAAATCAATGTAATATTTTAATGACAGATCACAACTGTATCAATCATAATATGACTGCTGTGTAAAAAACTCAAACTTCAAAAGATATGGATAGAATTTGGCCAAATGTTTCCATCTCAGGATGATGATGATCCTCAACAAATCAAAGAAAGAATCAATTTTAAACCAAATTTAATATTTTCTCTACTTCTGTTAGGCAGCATTTGAATTTTTTTTTTTTTTCTTGCCCTTCCCTTTTTCTGGAAGGAAGCTGTTGAAACGTAATCAACATTAAAGGTGCATGTCACTTGGGCACAACCTTCTACGTAAATGCATATGGGAGAAAAACTGAGCTGGTCTGGCGAAAAAGTCGACAGATACAATGGCTACTTCAACCAATCACTGCCAGCAAACTTTGTCGGACTGCTGGAATGGAACATATCAACGAACCAAAGATACCAGTTAGTGCATATGCGATTGCACAAAATGGAAGAGCCTCAGGTTCCTTGGCTGACAGTGCCGCAGTTCCTAGTCCGTGCGCACTGTGCATCAGTGAGAAAGTTCGTCAACAAACAATGAAAATGTAGGACAGTTTCTGAGTTGCATCACTGATACAGACTGACATCCCATCTTATAGGTTGAACATTTTACCTGGAAGCAGTTGCAATTCCTCGAGCAATGGGATCGCGAAAGCCAAATTTATCAAGCACAGTCTGAACAAAGTTGGCTCCAACAAGACCAGTAAGGACAACGACGGCAGCAGTGAGAGAGGCATTGGCACCTAGAATCAGCGATAGTATGAATTGGAATTTAGAAACCATGAGTAGTGGTGGCTAGGAAATATTTGTAAAATGTAATATTACTGACCGTCAAAGAAAGAGACTATGCTGAGAGCAAGAGCCACAGTTATGCATCTGGGAAGAATTGATACAGTTAAAGTTGGTTCTAAAGCAAGAAGCCGTCCAATGAAAGCTGTGGAGTATAAAGAGAACACAGCTGAAATAATCACGGAAGTGAAAATCTCAGCTGCATGCCTCTTAACTAGCTGCATTGATAAAATACTGTAGTAAGTTTCTACGCCAAATATAAAGGTAAAAATCTTAACAAATCAAGAAAATATTGGGGGGAAAAAAAACACAAAGCTATTCATTTTACAACTGCATCGATATTCCTAATTTAAATTTAGCATTGCGTCAATTGTTTGATATGCAAAGAAATGCAATTCTGTTTTCCCCCATAAACTACTTGGTCAACTTTCCTTGTCTAGTTAAGTCCTCCACTACATCTTATAACTAAACTTATAAATGTTATAACTTCATTTTATTTTATTTTATTTTATTTGTTTATCCATTTCTATGTCACTGTGGTGAATATTTAATGGTTGCTGTGCTTCTGTTAGAGGAACTGAGTTCAAACATCAAGAGAGGCGATCTTGATATCACCAACTTTAATCTAACATCAAAGCTTGGAGATTTTGCAGAAGACCAATTACCTTCCTCTGTTTGAACATTGAGAAAGCAAAGGAAAGGATAACTGATCCTAAGAACCCCATTAGAATATCACCAGCTCCAGGGTTTGAGGAAGCTTTTGTGAGATAATATTCTGTAGAAGATGAAGAATAGAAAGTTTGTTAAAATGTTCCAAAACCAACTAAAAGAAAGTCTAAAGTTAGAAAACTCATTTGCAGAATAGAAATTTTGAGTTTGACCAGTAATTGGTAAACTCAAGCATTCTACATTAGAAGTTGCAGATCATGAGACAATTCAGAAACATGGGATGACTATATGAAGCAGTCTTTATCTTCTCAGATCAGTTTGCATATCCAAATGTGCTAACTTAGCTACACATAATGCAGTAAATATTCGTTTCTGCAGTAATTACTCAATGCTTAGACAAGCAGTTTTCTCTCTAAAGTGAGCTCACGGCAGATCAGTCTACCAAAAAGAAAGCAAGCACTTTGCTAATTACAGAAGCATTCAGGCATCGAATAGAGCCATCACCAAAAGAAATCATTATTCCAAAAGGTAAAAGCACACAGATTATCAAAGATAACTTCTCCCTGCCTAATGACTACAGAAAATCAAGTGAACTATATACCTAAGCTCCTGAGCCGATCATTGGCTGGGCGTTTCATGCAAGACATAGACAGCTAGCATATGATCAGACATTTTAACATAAGTATAAAACAGTACCCAAGACTGGAGTGAGTCCAATTTTGGAGATGTATCCATAGGCAAATGCTGCCAAATCTGCAGCAAGAAAGCAGGAAATAATTGGATGCAACACTTTCTTTGCATCAGATGGAAGCCTGCAGTACACAGTTGAACAGAAAACACTTATGAGATAATACTTATCAGACGAAGAAGCCAAGATTACTCTCGAATAAAGAAGGTCCATTTTTTGTTTCACTGCAGATGCAGCCTCTTGCGGCTATAGAAGTGTGATAAGACAAGGTGAAGGAAAAATTTACCCAGAACCAACCATATAGCCCAATACAGTCGCCGAGAGCAGAAACGGCAAGCAAGTCCTAGCAGCTGTTCCAAGTGCTGTTGGGTATAAGTAAGCCAATCCAAATGATGAAACGAAAATCGCACTCCAAGACCAAATCTCGAGTTGAGAGAAAGGAGGAGGCTTTGCCATTGGTTCAGCTGGTATCATTTCTGTATTAACCATTTTTCTAATAGCTATTGCTGTAAAGCCTGCAACTAAGAGTGAAGCCAACCATCCGGCGACTGCAAACAAAAAGCCCAACTTAAAATTATACTAGCATTTGAGAAATAAAATCACGAGAAAAGGGAATTTGAACTTGCTGGAAGTATTCACCTATGATGACAGCAATCTTAGCCCCCGAAGCAGCAGGAATATCTTTAACAGCAAGTGGCAAAATTACCAGAGAAGGAACATAGAAAAGTGGAAGCCATCTCTGAATAAACAAAAGGGCAGGCTCAAAAAAGTTCATCAAACCAGTGGCTGCAGCCGGAACAACGGAATCAAGAGCCACCAGAATGGTAAATATACAAAACATCCCGAAAAGGGCACTTGGAAATTTGATAGCAGCAGCCACAAATGCCTGCTTCAAGTACTTATCCATTGCCAATATGATCCCAAGAGAAACCAACAAATGTAACAGCCCAACAACCTAAAAAAACAACATCAATAAACTAACCAAAATCAAACCAAAAAAGAAAAAAGAAAAAAAAGAAACCAAATCAAAGGACTTAAAACATTTCATGCTACAGGAAACCACTCTCAGTCTACCTTGTTCAGCAGGGTTGTTGTTGTTGATGTCATACCACCATCTGAACTCAGAGATTTCACAATAACCCTTCTATGGGAGTGTGAAAACTTGGAATGTGGTGGAGGAACTCTGAATTTTATTGCTCCTCCTCCATTGGAATTCACAGATGATTGGTTGCTGGCAGAAATCTTTGTGGGAGGAAATTTAATGGGATTGGGATTCTTAAGGAGGAAAGATCGGGAATTGGGATGGAAAAAGGATAGAGTTTGTGGGATGATGATGGCTGAGGCAGAAGCCATGGCAGCATAAGTGAAGCAGCAGAAGGAGTTGGGGAAGGGTCTTCTTCATTTTTGTTTGTTTGTTTTGGGAATGAAAATTAAGAACTTTTTGTGTGGACATGAAATGGATTTGGAAGAAATTGAGATCACTCGGGTTTCTTCCCAAAAATGTTACAACTCAATTCATACTTAAAATTAAAAAATGGTCCATTTTCAAATTACAGTTATTGTTCGTTACTGTCAAATGATGAGTCTGACCACTCTCACCCTCACTGGGCCTTTAGGAACTCATTTTCTTCCAATCATAAATCGAAATACATTGTTACAAAAAAAAAATTTTAAAAAAATTCAATACATTGCATTTTCGTCTTTTTGCCTGTCTTTTGGTTTTTTAATAATTAAGAAACTAGGTTCTAAACCTGTACTTTCGCACGGGTACGTAATAGATTGATATCTTTATTTTTTTTTATATCAAAACCGTAATAGAAATTAAATCACAATAAAAGTACTTTAGGAATTTTTACATTTATTCATGATCTCTATTTGAGATAGAATATCATAAAAATATAAATCAAATGGATATGAGATGGAAGTAGGGAGTGGAGATAGAAAATCTATTTTTTCTTTCTTCTCCAAAAATAACTTAATTGTAAAAAGATATGATTAAAAAATTTTAACTTTTAACTCTAATCATTATTTTTATATGAGAATGAGAATGGAAAACCCGCCTCCATTCTTTTCGCTAAATGAAGAATGTCCAAAAGAAATTGCAATGAAGAAACTAAGACAATGATCAACTATCGTGTCTTGTGTGCAATTGAAAGGCTAATTGTTTAGAAAAGTAATCAAATATATTATATTGATTGATATTTCCAATTCAGTTCAAGTAGCCAATTAAATTTGCAATTACTTACTTTGTAGAGTAGCAATCCACAAATTAACCTTGGTAGTACTTTCAGCAATTCTTTCTCACGAATTCAAGTAAATTAAATTGAAATTTTACGTTTATTTTCTATTCAAAACGTGCCTGTAGGTCCTTTATGTACGCCTCCTAAACATCAACTACAGTAAGGCCCAACAATGGCAAAAGAAAATCATTCAGTGCCAAGTTTGTTAATGCTAAAGTTGATCTAAAACATCAATCCATTGCAATACCCGATAGGAACCTTTGTACATTTGCAAGAAAGTAAATGCCGAAAAATCATCAGGGAATAAAACACAAAAAGGAGTTAACAACTTAACTGTCATCTATGTAACTCAAAATTAACACTATGCAAGATTGGACATCTTCTCATCATCTTAATCACTTCCATATACATATATACACTAGGTACGGAGATAAATTTTCAAAGATGAAACTCCAAGTTCTAATCTGATGCCCAGAAATTGTTTGATTTCGGTCACAAATTTGTAAATTTGCACACCTTACATGATCAACTTCACGGACTTTGGTTCAAAGTTCCAACTTCTGAAAATTTCGTTTTTCCGACCTGTGCTCTTTCCGCTGTTGCGAATTTTGACATCTGAAACTCTCACAATAATCACAACAGCCACCATTCGATGTAAATACTCGCATAGGAATTTTGTTGACAACACCTCCGTGATAGTGGTGAACGGATCTCGGTTCATTCAGGTAGAGGAAAAAAAATTTTAATTCACAAAACAATGGACATATAAGTGGTTTTGTATTTTTACTAATTTCTGATTATATGGGTTTAGCAGGGAGTGGTATATATAAGTGAACAATTAAAGAGAGCACGTTGTAATTTACCGTACACATTATTTATGGAAGAATTTGGATAGTGGAGTAGTTGGCGGTTATGTAGATATATCACGGAAAGACATAACAGATAATACAAAACATAAAACTAAATCGAGATTTTAGTTCGCAACCCAACATTGAATCTATTTTATACGATCGTGTTTGGTGCACTCGAAAAATAAAGAAATAAATAAATAAATTACTGAAATATAGTCCTGCAAATATTTTGGAAGATTAAATTCATTGAAAACAAATGAAAGCTTAAAAGATAAATTAACCGAACCTCAATAGATCCATGGCAACAACTTTTTTGGTTTCATGAATAATTAGAAGATATGCATTCCCGCGGGCAAATTTTTCCAATTCCTCAATTCCTTGTGGATTTATAATTGGAAGATATGCATCTACTCCCCCGCATAGCTGGAAATATTATCTTGTCTACTCCTCCGTGCAGTTGTGGTAAATCGGGAGTATTAGATCGGCCGCTGGTAGTCAAATAGATTGAGTAACAATGGGGATTTGTAAATTAAAAAAGAGCAGAAAACCGTCATCTGATGCTAAATGAATTTTAATTAATCACACGATAAAAAGGGACGAAAGGCAATTTTGAGGTAAAAGTGTTCTAATTTCCGTAGAAGGGTATATAATATGTAAAACATCAACAAATGGCCCTCCAAGTGATTCCTGATGTGGAATTTTTATTAAAATAAATGAGAGAAATACTCTATTGGCGATGCTCGACCTAATAAGTCCGCATTCAGCAAAATCGTGCTCAATAATTAAACACTGGGAAATGCAAATGAATCTGAAACTCTGTTTCCAACCAATGTCCTGACGCAAGCTCCTATGGAATAACTAGTGCCCAAACCAATAATGGAATATATATATATATATATATATATATATATATATATATATATATATATTTAATGGTCATCTTTCTTGTGCAGGAACAACATTTTGTTGGACTCAGTCTCTGTCTTGATCTCAATTGGAAGTTTTTATATACTACAATGTTTTATTTTTTAATCATCCTTCCCATCATTGTGTACAACATGTATTAATATTTTACAATCAGAATGCATATTATAAGTATCAGGTGGACCAAAAAGGTAAGAAAAATTAAGTGGAACAGAAAGTATGATGTGAAAGCAACTCACAAAGTAGGCGGTGATTGGAATTGCATGTGATCAAATGTTTTCTCTTCCTTATAAGGTCTTCAACTCAACCAGCTCCACCATCATCAGTTTCCCTCACCTTTGGACTCAGATTGATCAGTAGCTTTCAGCTCTGCAATGAAGACAACTCTGTTTCCCACAAATTCTTCGTGGTATGTATGCAACATGTTTGTGGTTTGTTGTTCATGAACTTCAGTTCATCCTATGAACCAATCAAGTTTCAATCTTTATCCAATTTTCCAGTGTTTTCTGACATGGGGAGTTCTATTCAAATAATGGGTTTGTTGAATTTCGTCACAATTCCTATTAGTCCTCCTCTTATGGATCAGTAAGGTTTTTTTTTTCTTTTTTCTTTTTTCCGTACAGATCCCACATCTGTATTGTGCTTTTGGTAGTTGCTCTTGGATTTTGTCTCCTTAATTAGTACTTCTATCAACCATCCGTGCTGTGCTTGCCTACTCTTTTCTTTGATCAGTCCAAATTGTAATATGGATATGGCTGCCAAATTTCTTGTGCTGCATTTCTTCTGTATCTCTGCATCAATATATGCTGTGTCTTCACTGAATTCGGATGGTGAAACTTTATTGTCACTGCTCAGACATTGGGATTTTGTTCCCCCTTCTATCAAATTCAGCTGGAATGCTTCCCATTCCACTCCTTGCCTTTGGGATGGAGTGGAATGTGAGGCTGAGTTTGTGGTTGGTTTGAACCTGACTGAGTACCACATTTCGGGTCAGCTCGGACACGAAATTGGAAACTTGAGACACTTGAGATCACTCACCTTAGACAACAATAGCTTCTTTGGGCCAATTCCTGCTGAATTAGGAAACTGCACTCAGCTTCAAGAGTTGTCCTTGTTCGTAAACGGCTTCACTGGAGAGATTCCACAGAGCATTGCAAACTTGCGGAATTTGGAATATTTAGATTTTTCTGGGAACAATCTTCATGGTAATCTGCCTCATTGGATCTGCGGATTGGAGAAATTGGGGACTCTTACTTTCGGTCAAAACAAGCTCACGGGTTTAGTTCCAGACTGTTTCTGGAATATGAGCAAACTCGAGTTTTTGATCCTGCAAGACAATGGCTTTCACGGGATGCTTCCAACTAGTTTTGGAAATGGCTCGAATATGTTTTTGCTATTTCTTGACGGCAATAAGTTTGAAGGATCATTGTCTTCCTCTTTCTGCAAATTGGAGGAATTGCAGTGGCTTATTGTGGCTAACAACAGATTGACGGGTACAGTTCCTGAGTGCTATTGGAATATGAGCACACTCTTAAACTTTGACTTGGGACAGAATGCCTTTCATGGGATGATTCCAACAAACTTTCCAAATGCCATTCCTTTGTCAATCATTGCACTAAATGACAATCAATTTGAAGGTCCATTGCCTCCTTCCCTTTGCAAATTGGATAACTTGAAGCATCTTCTATTGCGGCGCAACAATTTGACCGGTACAATTCCTGACTGTTTGGGAAAGAAACTCGTATGGTTGGACTTGCGAAACAATGGCTTCCATGGAATGATTCCTTCAAGTCTTCAGAAGAGCAATAATTTGACGTTACTAGCGCTAAGTGGAAATCAATTTGGAGGGCCAGTGCCTTCTTCTCTGTGCACTATGCAGAGCTTGAAGATTCTTCTTTTCTCTAAGAACAATTTGGCAGGTACAATCCCTGGCTGTTTTGGAAACATGAGAAATCTCACAGCCTTGGATTTGCGAAAGAATAACCTTCATGGGATGATTCCAAACTTTCCAAAAGGCAACATTTTGAGCTTCATTGGTCTAAGCAACAATCAACTAGAAGGTCCTTTGCCGAAATCTCTGCTCAACTGTACCAGTTTGGAAATCTTAGACATAGGACACAACTATATAAATGATACTTTTCCAGCATGGCTAGGAGCCCTCCCGGAGCTTGCTGTTCTTGTAATGAAAAGGAATTACTTCCATGGTACACTTGGTACTATTTCAGATACAACATTCAAGAAGTTGCGAATTCTTGACATATCATATAATCAGTTTGGTGGCTTTCTACCGGCAGAAATGATGAATTCTTTTCAAGCTATGAGGAAGAATGACAATCTAACGCAGTTAGGCACAGGCGTGCATCCGTATTATGAAGATTCGGTAACTTTACAGATGAAGGGGCTTGAGCTTGAGGTACAGTGGGTCTTAGATGTTCTTACCGCCATCGATTTCTCAGGAAATCATTTCCAAGGAAGCATTCCACAATCAATTGGGGAGCTGAGTGGCCTCAAACTGCTAAACTTTTCGCATAACCAATTTGACGGCCTAATCCCATCATCAGTTGGGAACTTGTCTGTGCTGGAATCATTAGACCTTTCGTGGAACCAGCTCGTGGGTAACATTCCTGAGGAACTAGCAAACCTGAATTTCCTTCAAGCCTTGAACCTTTCTCATAACCGACTGGTGGGAAGGATCCCAAAAGGTCGACAACTTAACACGTTTGATAGTGATTCGTATGGTGGAAATCCGGGTTTATGTGGTTTCCCACTTGGAGACTGTGGAGAATCATCCAGGGGGTCACAACAACCAAATCAGAGTAATCGGCAAGCAAATGACCATGGGGACATAATGGATGGACTTACCAAGGAATCAGTGCTGTTGGGGTTTTGTTGTGGTACGATTCTTGGATTGTTAATGGGAAGTCTAATGTTTTATACTCAGAAGCCAAAATGGTTTGATGCATTTTTGGCACGTATGTACATAAACATTCGGTCTAGGAAATAAGGGTATAAAGAAACTCCTGTTTCTGGTGAATACCATGGTGGGTATCATACATTTTCTTTTTTCGTTGTTTTCTTTCAATCATAAATCAATGCATTACATTTTCTCTCTCTTTTTTTTTGTTGGTCATAGGAATTTTGATCATTAAACAACCACCATAGTAACCATTACTAATGTAACAACACCGAGGCCGAAAGGTTGCCTGTTCTCTAGTTAGTTGCATCAGTCTTTTTCAAGTCTATTCCTTTTACCCTTTTTGGACGAACTTCATAACACTTCTCAATCACGTTGTCACCGAAATTTAAATGTTGTCGATTCTTACACAAGAATCTAATCATTGGGGAAAATAACCAGACAATAGAACTAGCAGAACCGAAATGTACCGGGAAACCTTTGAATTTAATCATCTCTTTCGAACGATCAACCTCATAGAAAGTGTCCATCTTCATCAAAGAAAGTAATATCACCAGTATGCAGCCAACCATCTTCATCAATTGTAGACTAGACTTAGTTGCCTCCTCATCATTTTATATATCCTACAGGTCAATAAAACGTCTCCATCAATATCAGCTTCAGGTAAAGAGGCATAAAAATTTCCCACAAGGCTAAAATCTTCATGCTGCCACACTTGCAAGATTACCTTTCATGTTAGCAGCAGAGCTTAGCCAAAGCTCGCCGGACTTACCAGGAGGTAAAAAGGAGCCAGTATCCTCCACTTTTGCCTGGGCAGAAGGAAACAGAAGTCCAACAGAACTGTACTTTTGAATTTCTTCTGTGTTATAACCACGAGTTCCAACATCAGTTATCTGTGTCAAACCATATCCTGCCAGCAAAAAGTTCGACTTGACTACAACTCTGTAATCAACAGAATTCAGGGATTCTGAACACAACCTTGAATACAAATACGTTGATCCTGAATCGGTTAATCAGAAGAAGACTCATAAATTTCAAAACAAAATTTAAAACTTAGTGTTGGGATAGGCTCCCTATGTGGGTCAAAAGCCCAAGTAAATTAAATAAGTTTGGCCCAACTTATGTTATGTCATCAGCCCATCTTGAGTCCACTATAAAGTTTAAAATGCAGCAAAATGAAAAAAAAGGGGGGAGGGGGAAGGGGGGAGGGGGAGGGTGCCATTTTACGGGAAAAAAATAGAACCAAAAGAGAGAGAGAGGAGCAGAATTTTCTAACAAGTGTTCCACTGTAGCAGTGTCTGAATTCTTCAAGTTTGGAGGGGCAATCTTTGTCCGTTGGTCCTGAAATTTGGACTGTAGTTACAAGACTCATCGATCTTCATTTTCAACAAAGGGTGTTGGTTTTCGTCAGCTAGATTGTGAGTATTGTACTTTGAAGTTACTGCTGGTTTTGTGGATGTTTAGTTAATCTTTTGATCTTGTATTGATATTCTAGTGCCTTTGTAGCTTGGTTTAGCTTGGATAAGGACTAGATATCTTTGTTGTATTGTTGGATTGGTGTACTCCTACTCTTATTTGGTGATTAGTGGATTTGATAGGCCTTTTGGTCTCGTGGTTTTTACTCCTTCACACCGAAGGGGGTTTTCCATGTAAATTGGTGTTGTGTGTTGTTTTGCTTTCTTGTTGTTTCATTGGTAGCTTTAGTTCTATGTGGTATAGTTGGTATTTTCACTCCTACTAGATTCATGTAAATTGGGGAGGGCTTGGTTTGTTTCCGCTGTGCTTAAGCTAGCTTGGCTTGAGTAGTTAGTGTGTTTGGTTTGCCTATTAGGTCCTCACCTCCCATCAGAGTGGTATCAGAGCCAGAGGTTGATGGCTTTGAATTGATTTGCTTGAATTATGGAGATTAAAAACCATGGATGTTACTAGTATTAAGATGGTATCTTTGACTGGTATGAATTATTACTCGTGGAAGGGTAAAATGCAAGATTTGTTGTTTGTTAAAAATATGCATCTACCTGTGTTTGGTTCAGGTAAACCGGATGCTAAAAATGATGAAGAATGGAAGTTTGAGCACTAGCAGGTGCGTGGGTTCATCAGAATGTGGGTGGATGACAATGTCAGAGATCTTGTGGCAAATGAAACAAATGCAAAAGAACTTTGGTTGATACTTGAGAAGATGTATGCTTCCAAGACAGGTAATAACAAGTTGTATCTCTTGAAGCAGTTGATCAATTTGAAGTATGCTAAGGGTACACCTATCTCTAATCATGTGAATGAGTTTCAAGGCGTGTTGGATCAATTGTCTAATGTTGGTATTACATTTGAAGATGAGATACTTGGTTTATGGTTGTTGAATACTTTGTCAGACTCTTGGGAGACTTTTAGGGTCTCACATACAAATTCTGCTCCTGAAAATAAAGTGTATTTTGATTATGGCAAAAGTGGAATCCTCAATGAGGAGATTAGAAGAAGAACTAATGGGATGTCATCACATACTGAGATCTTAGTTACAGAGCAGAGGAGGAGACAACAAAGTAGAGGGCATAGCAATAGGAAAAAGAGTAGAAGTAAGTCCAGAGGGAAGTTGATAACATAAAAATATATACACTTTTAGCATGCACTTCTTACTCATTTCTACTTATAATTTATGTCAATTAATTAGGATTAGTTTATTTTTGTGGTGATTTTACAGTTCAGGTATCTCAGTAGGCCAATGTGAAAAATTAGCATAAAAGAGGATCAAATTGCACAAAAAGGCATCAGAATGGACTGGAATGGAAGTTACTGAAAATTGAGCTGCTGGAAGGTCAATCAGAGCTGAAGAAAGTGGAGAAATCCTTGGTGAGAAAGGAAGATTGTTAGCAGATGGACTCAAGTGGAAGAATCTGCAACAACTACCTCAATAGAGGAAGAAGAAATGGCAGCTGCTCTGCTGCCAAGTTGCTGCTGTGGATGCTGTTCCTACTGTCAATCAAGAAGAACCAAGGTTTAATTCTTGCAGCCAAAAGAAGGAATTGCTTCACCATCACTGCAAGTTATAGCTGCTGCAAGTTGAAGAAGAGAAAGAGGGAGAATATGTGGAAAACAACAGCTGCAACCTGCTACTTACCTGCTGTGACTGTTGCTTCTGAATTGATGGATTGGCTGCTGTAGTCAGGTGAGAAATGGTGTTGCAAGTGATCACAGGAAACAAGGAAGGAAAAGGCAAACAGATTTGAGCTGAATTGGAGGCTGAAACACAATGGTGGAAGGAAGCATGCTGCTGGTGCTGCTGCTAGTTGAGTTGCTACAGATTAAAGAATGAAGAAATAGAGATTTGTGGCTGAAAATTGGAGAAACTGCATCGGAGAAGAAGACTGGGTGAAGAAGGCAATGATGAGAGAAAAGTGGCTGATTGCGGCTGAAGAGAAGGAGCCACCAAAGAGAAGACAGCAACTTGCCAAGTTGGCAACTTGCTGAATAAACAAACCTCTACTGCTGCAAGTTGCTGCCTCACCTTTCTGCTGCAGAGAAGAAGGCAAGAAACCAACCAATCCAAACTTCTCCAAATCTGTATAAATAGTCAGTCAATAGCAGTTAGAAAAACAGCAGATTGGGTAGTTAGATTTAGTCACAAAGACAGTAGTTAGATAGTTAGTTACTAGGTTAGAAACATGGTAGTAGCAGGAACAAGGAGCAGACTGTCACTTTGTCAAGTGGCGAACGTCACTTGCCACAGTGAACATACAGAAAATGTCCCTGCTACCATTTTTCCTTTCTTTCCTCTAACATTTTGATCTAGAGTTATGTCTTATCTTTTGTACTTGGTTTCTCTCATGTTTAACTCAATAAACATGAGTAGCTAAATTAGTTAAGGGTTCAATCCCTACTATCTTTATGTGAAGGTTTTGATTTAGTTTTCTTGATAAGGTGTTGTGCCTAGATAAGTGACTTAATTAACCTTTTAATTAACTTTGCCACTTAATTAAATGTGCTTCCATGGTTATGAAGATCTGGAAGGGGGAGCACAACCTTGGAATTGCTTAATCTAGTCTATGACTATGGAGAAAATCTACCCTACGGTTCCAGACATCAACGGAAGTTAGGTGAATGGTATAGGGGATCAAAGAGGGCTTAAGAACTCAATGTCTTAGATTAATGAATTACTCTGACTGGAAGATAGATGATTTAGATAATCTAGATCTCTTTATTCTGTCTGGAAGGAATTATAAAGAATATAAGTGCCTGATCGAACAAATAATCATACACTACAGGAATATTTGAATCAAACTGGATCATAAAGGTAGGAAGGTGATTGACTCAGCTGGCTCTTCACTCTGTCAAGTGACTATTCTCACTCTCCCAAGTGACAATCTGTTGAACTCATTTTCTTTCTTTTCTGCACTTTAATCAGATTTTGAGCGGTTGACTGCCTTCTCTGTGGAATGACCCTGCTTACCACTAGCTAATAGTTTTAAGTAGGTTTATAAATATTTCTTTTGGGAAGTAGTTCAATGACAAACTCTCACCAGAAGCACAAGAATGTAGAGTGCTATTTCTGTAAAAAGCCTGGTCTCATCAAGAGAGATTGTTTGATATGGAAGAGTAAAAAGGGGGTAGGGAGTAGCAATTCAGAGAAGCCTAAAGAAAGTACTTCTGTTCGTGTTGCCACTGCTACCAGTGATGATCTTATCATTGTGTATAATGACTGTGATGTTAATTTGGTTGCTTCTGATTCCACTTGGATTGGCGATTCAGGGAATGTTGTCCATGTTACTTCCAGAAGGGAGTTTTTCAGCACTTACACTGCATCACTTGAGGATGGGCAACAATGGTCTTGCCAAGGTTGTTGGCACTGGAAATATTTATCTAAAGATGAACAATGGCTCTACAGTACTACTTAAGAAAATAAAGCATGCTCCAAAAATTCGATTGACCTTGATCTCCATTAGAAGACTTGATCATGATGGTTATGGCAACAATTTTGCTGGTGGAATATGGAAAATCAGTTAAGGGTCCATGATTTTGGCTAAGGGTACAAAATTGAAGGAAAACTTGTATGTGTTGCCAGCTTCAATTTTGGTTGACTCAGTTAATGTGGTGGATAAGGCATGCTCACCAGGGTTGTGGTATAGAAGATTGAGTCACATAAGTGCCAAGGGACATGATGTATTGGTGAGGAAGAATGTTTTTCTTGGAGCTAGGGATTCTAACTTTGATCTCACATTGCCTTAAAGGGAAGTAGACCAGAATAT